GAGGGGCGGCGGCGGGGGTGCGGCAGGGATAGGCTTCTCCTCCGCCTTAGTTTTAACACGGATAAAGTCCTGCATGGGTGGATTTTGGTGACGCCCGTACACCCTGTGAGTTATAAGGCCTGAATTCTTTGAGGTGGGACGGCTGAAAGCGGAGTGGTTAAATTAACCAATTGTGGATGTCTTGTTTCTGGCTTTTCTGGTGGTTGTTTTTGTAGAGCCAAGGAAACAAATGAGTGGTTTTTTTGGTGGATTTTGGTGACGCCCGTACACCCTGTGAGTTATAAGGCCTGAATTCTTTGAGGTGGGACGGCTGAAAGCGGAGTGGTTAAATTAACCAATTGTGGATGTCTTGTTTCTGGCTTTTCTGGTGGTTGTTTTTGTAGAGCCAAGGAAACAAATGAGTGGTTTTTTTAATTCCGATCCCAGTCACTGGGCCTATCACCTTTTGTTCCCAAAGCCATCACAGGATGCGCTGGGAACTGCATTGAAGAATCCCTGACCCTGTGAGTTTATCACTTCAGTCCTTTTGAAGCTGTAGGCCATTTGGGGGAGGAGAGCACACTATTGATTGTTTCTTGTCTTGTGGGGCTATATGTTTAACTGTACGTGTCCTAGGATATCGTTCTAGTAAAAGAAGGTAGAGGCAAAGTCATACAGCCCTGTGCTACAGCGAGGGAGCGCGCATCTTGGCTTGGTGGGTTCTCTTGGTACAGGAAGACTAATGAGGCAGTCTAGTTGTGCCTGCCCCAAGCAAAGCCATGGTAGGAGCTGTGGGGAATTTTTCAGTGTCTAAGTCTGAATTTTCTTGCAGGTCATCAGCTGCAAATGATAAGGCTGATGAGGTGAGACAGGCAGGATGGGGAGGAGGAGCAACCTGGTTCAGCAAAGGTCACGTAGCAGGTGAGTAGTAATTAGGACACTATCTTGCCAGTGTGAATGCATCACATGTGTTTACAGATAGAAGAGGTGGCTTTTCACCTTTCTAGATTTTGTCCTCTCTTAAAGTGTGTTTATTAAGATTGATAATGATATTATTGTCTTGGTTTTTTTTTAAACCAGTCCATAATGATTCCCAGAATTACTCAATATCAACGTACTTTAGGAAGACTGTTGGCTTTTCTAAATTTATGCTGATTGCCCACTAAAGTCACTTAGTTGTGCAGAGAAGTGGTTACTTAGATTGCCCTTGTTTCTTAGCAGGATAGTGGCCAAAAGAGCTGCAAGTGTCTTATTAATTAGTTGGAAGTAGTGCTTGAATTCAGAATTAGGAGAATTTAGGAGCTTCACAATAAGGAGGAAGTTTAACTATCTAAGGAGTGTAGTTATGAAACAGATCTTCAAACGAAGTAGAAATTTTATACATTTTTATAGAACAGACTGTGTGACAGGATAGGAGTGATTTTTATTTGGTTTTGGATTGGGAAATGAGCCTCTCTCTATGTTTCAATATGGGATCCTCAAATGGCTCTGAGGAAGAACAAAGACTCCTTTTGACCCCCCTCCCCCCCCTTCTTTTTATTTATAGTTTATTTTCCAGCATTCCAGCAGCTAGGAAGGATTGCTTTCATTTTACCTTCTGCTTCTTTTTTGATCCATGGTGAGGTTTCTAGGGTTCTGTTCATTCCACCACCCTCCAGCTACTGTCCCTCTGGAGCACTAGGGATTTGTCATGTCTGAAACCTGGGTGCTGGACAGCTTGTGCTGGTCCTCAGTGGTGTTGGGACATTCTGACTGTTACTCTTCTAAGTTGGATGGGCGTTGAAAAAGCAAAAATCTTTTT